CTTACAAGAGGCACAAGGGAGAGCCCGAGGCTGGGGCTCTCCCTAGGTCCGGGGCCGCGGATCCGACCTTCAGAGGAATCGGCAAATCGAACGGCAAACCCAACGTCGGCCACCATCGTCACGAGTCCCAGGGGAAGATCACCGAGTACTTCAAAACTCAGATCAAGCCTCAGCAACCCAAGGTAGCTACTGTGGCCTGCGCGCGACAAATAGTAGCGTTATCGAGATGCGAATAACCGCGCGTGTGTTCGCGTACAGATCAAGAAGAACAGCGAAGCGATGTCGGTGCTGGTCGCGAAAAGTTCGACGGAATTTCGTAGACCCCCGACGGTGCAGAGGAACAAGGGCGGTCTAGCCAAGTACCTGGGTACCGTCTCGCCGAACGGTCGGAACGCGTCTACCAATGACTGGGAAGTGAGAGGTCTGACAATGTCCCCGCCGCCTACGAAAAAACCACCGCCTATGATCGTACCGAGGACCAACGGTAAGATGGATAAGAAGTTGCCAAAGCCGGTGCCCAACCTGCCCATCTCGAACGACGTGCTGAAGAATATTCCGAGTTGCAAGATCTCGTCCCTCAGGTAGGTTACAGCGTTGACGAGAACGCCGTCCCGACTACGAATACCTTCTGTCAGCCCAGATCGTTGCGAATCGCAGTTCTTGCCCGTAACGGTTGAAACTATGTATTCGTCGAGGTATGCATATTCTATATATCTCATTTTTCATGTATATTACTTCTGACTTCTATTTTCTTCCTTTGCTTACTGTATCGAGTCAAGAACTTCCAGCCTCGTCGTACCATACGAGCATCTTAACAACGAAAGGGGAAGGTATCAAACGTGTTCGAAAGGACCAGTACTATAATTTTTCTTATGTTACTCGATATAGGTTAACCTCGGAAGCGAATCCGAACGCGATTAGCTCGTCGCCCTCGACGCCGTCTTCTCCCTCGTTGAGCAACGAATCGACGACGACGACAGCTACAGCGACCACGGTCGACTTCAACGGCTGTATCCTTTCGAAATCTCACGTCAACGAAAACAACAACCTGACGAACGGCTGCGGAACCATCTTGGATTCGTTGAGGTCTCCGGACAGTCAAGACATTTTCTCCTTCCTGTCGTCACCGGAAGATTCCAAGAGCAAGGACGCGCGAGCGAGCCCCGCGGACGAAGAGGACGCCGAGGAAGAGGAAGAGGACTCGAGGAGCAGCGAATCGAAACCGTCGTTGTCACCGATACTTTCGGCGCCGACTACCATTCGATTTCCTGCCAGGGAACCGGGCAAGGACAGACAACAGGGAGCAGACAGCGGGGTTTGCCGATGGGACAAATGCGAGGAGAGCTTCGAATCTAGCAGTGGACTTCTCGAACACCTGCAGGTGCGAATAAACTCGTCCCGGTATTAGCTATAACATTCGAGAATTACAACGCGTCGTATTTCTTCCCCCTCACCGGCATTTTTTCAAGAAACGTCTTTCTGCTGGAGGTATTGTTGTCGTAGGGGGAAAAAATTTCGGCGCAGACTCGTAAACACTCAGTACAGTATCGCTTTCCGAGCGAGCAGTCATTCGTCGACGAACTAACGTCGCCGTATCGAATTTAGTATATTTCGGACACCGTCGTTGCTTTACGTTGTTACGTTGTTTTATCCCGTACGTAGGCAGCGCATATCAACACGCAAACCGGCGGCGACAACTTTGTCTGTCAGTGGCAAGGCTGCAAGGTGCAGGGGAGGAGTTCGTGTTCAAGAAGGTGGCTCGAGCGACACGTGCTGTCTCACGGTGGCAACAAACCCTTCCGGTGCATCGTCGACGGCTGCGGCAGCAGATTCAGTTCTCAGGTACGGTGTCGTACCAATAGTCGTCTCTCGACCAACGATGGAAAATCATTCAGGATCGATCGCTTTCGAGCGACGAAAAAAGTCCCTCTTTCTGACTCGATACGCTCTACGATCTTTTCGATGTCACTTGCTCGTTCGCGTATCGAGTCTATCGGAACATTTTGTCCGTTTCAAGAGGAAGAGGTTTTAACTCCGATCGTTGTCGCAATCTGTCTATCTATATATCAATCAATGTATCTTGGATTCCTTGCTACGTAATCGTTACAGTTTCCATTTATTACCGAACAAAGATCGCGTCGTTATTACCTTTTCTAAGAATTCGTGCTAACGATCGAGGACTCGGTTTTCAACGAATATTCGTTAATTTCGCGCACGAAATGACTGGTGTTTATAAACAGAACCGTGTACTTCTGGGATCTTTCGAGAAAAAACGCGGTCATTTTTAACCTGCTTAAACGAACAAAAACTGCCAGAATGTTCCGATACATCCAATAAATTACTAATCGATTAAGTTATTGATCAGTTTCTCTAGGGAGACACGCTTCTCGATATGTAGCGCGATCGCTCTAAAAATTTCACGCTTATCGGACGATTGTTTCGATGATTCCGAGTACTCTGAGGCGATAGTTGTAACAAAAATGTTGTCGATGAACGATCCAACCATTTCATTCGTTCGTTTGTTACATTTTTGTTAAGACCAATGCTTAGGAACCGAAATTTCCAAGGAATTCCGCAAATTCGATATCTTTCGCGGTAGTACCTATCTTCGACCTCCTTGTAAACTAACGTTTCTCGTTCGTCGCTACTTTCGACGATCATTCTCTAACTTGCCTGTCCGATTTAAGAGAAAAGCAATCCACGAATCCTGTCTCTGTCGTTGCGAGTAGGAAGCATTACCGTGAAATCGATGTGAAACTAATGAACTTGTTTTTCTTGTTATCAAGCATCCAACGAGCACGCTCTCGGATATGCAGATATCGGAATGTTTCTATGTTCCGATCTATCTTTTTCCTTTTCACACTTTTATTATGTTTAAATCGTGCATCCGATGTACCTGATGTTGGGGACAACGAATGCTGCATCCGAACCAGTGACTGCGACGCCAAACCTGCTGTTCAACATTGATCGTTGAATCGAAACAGACACGATGTTTGTCGGTCAACTTTTCCCTCTTAACGCTTTCCCGGTCCGAGTGAATCTCCCTATTCCACGACGATACAATCAGAATCATCGTACTGTACACGACGAACTTACGAAATTACGAATACCGAGGAATATCTGGAACTAGCGAAAATAGAATCTGACCCGAAAAAACTGTAAGCGAGAAGACGGGGTAAAGCGGGTATCGGGAAAGCGTTAAATCGCGTTAAAGAAACCGACGCATTGTCCGGTTGACATTCATGGAACGTAAGTGTGGCTACGTCGGTTGAGAACCAAAGTACGTCAATGCTGGTCCGAACGCTTTAGTCGAATAATTCTGTTCGGACGCATCCTTTGCGGGTTTTTGTTCTTTCATCGATCGATCACAACCTAGGTAAAGCTAGTATCTTTTGTCTTAACCATTATCTCATGGCCGAAGACAAGTGGTTAGAGTGCCATTCTTCGAAAAGCTGGCATTTTCCAGGGACAGCTGACGCATCTGTCCTGCCGGTACATTGTCTGTCTCGCGTCGAGATCTCAGGCTGCGTCTGTTTTGTCTCTTTCTTCCTTAAGTATTGCGTAAAATGAATCACGCACTTGTATTCTGGTAACAAAACGTATCGGCTGAATACGCCGCATCACGACGTAACGAGATGTCGAACGATCGTCGTAACTCTGGAACACTTTATTTCGTCGAGTTCCACCGTTAACGATAGAACACCATGACGCTTTCCCTGGAAAGTGTCAGAAGCTAGGATTCTGAATAGGGAATTTCGCTTTACAGACCGCCTTGGAGAGGCACGTCAACGGACACTTCAATCAACCGGAAACCAGCAACAACAATACCAAAAGGAACTGCGAAAGCGGAGGAAAACTGATGAGAAGAAACGGGAAAAGGCTACGATACAGGCGACAACCTTGGTCCGGTAAATAACCGATTCTAGTAACAGACTTTTCACCTTTTTTCTTCCGACGTTGCGGCCTGACGTCGTCTAATTTCTCTTTCGCAGCGAGACTGTTCGATTACTTCGATTCGGGTGTTATGGAAGGTCTTCAGCACAGGTTACTGCAACTGGAAAAATCGAGGACGCAAGATCGACTGGCAGAGACACCAGGAAATTCGATGGCCCTAACTAGTCAAGTAAGTTCGGCCGTTTTCGACCAGAGACGACAGCCCGCGCAATAACGATACCGGATACCGTAATAACGCTTTAATGTTCGCGAAAGAAATAATTACGTTTTGTTCGCAGGTATTAGCTCGAAGAGTAGAAATGGACGGGAAGACTAAAGTATTGTTACGATGGTATCCTCCGGATATGTAAGTGTTTCGAAATCGACGTTTCACCCTTTCGTTGCGTTATCGCAAACAAATATAGAACGACTATCCGTAGTCTAATTGTCTATAGATGTTCGTAAAGCTCGCAGCGAAAGGGTTCATTTGATTGGGTGATTCTAATGTTTTCTGTACGATATCGTTGATTAGCGAGCCAGACGAATGGGTATTGGAATCCGAAGTACAAAGGACGAAACTGGTTGCGATACGCCAAGTGACGTCCACGCATCCGGAAGAGGTAACTCTGGCCCTTTATTCGGCGATCAACAGCGGACCACCACCGTTAACGCGGATAAAACAGCGCCGAAAACCGGTGAAGAACTCGTGATAATGCCGATCACGTTGATCGAGGACAAGCGCGACGAAGCAGCGACGACTACTAAGCCGGAGAAGGAACAGGGACGAGTTCTGTATCGGGACGATCGCGAATTCTGCTGGTTTATAAAGAAAAGGAGCCTGGCGAGATAACCGAGAACCGGGAAGTCTGAACGTGTCAAGGAAGCGAACCGGAAATCGACCGTGTCCTCTCGCGCGAGAGGCGAAAGGAACGAAACGAATTAGACGAGTTCAAATTCGAGGAAAACGAAACGACGATACCAGAGACAGCGCGTGGGAACAAGTACGATTCGTAAGGAGAGAAACGTACGAAACAACCGACGAACGCGTAGTAGAGAGGATACCCGAAGAGTAACTAACGACGATACCGAATAATTAGAAACGTTCTAATTTATTTAGCCTAGATGTACCCGTCGATCGTTAGGTGATATTAGTAGTCGTGGATAGACGATGAAAAATAAATATTCTTGTTGCCTATCGATGCTAACAATTTCGAAACGTTGGGGTTGATTCCTGCCACGAGTGGCGTCGAGTAAACGTAGAACGACGCAACGTCACTCGTCGGACTCGGAAGAGCTGGGTTTGGGCCTCAAAAGTGCCTCATTGTGGATACGTTTTATATCGTTGACCGTCGCGCAAGACCAATGAACGAGACGGCGGATATGCGTTACAGAAACGAGAGAAGGAAAGCGAAAACGATAATAAGCGCGATAAAAAAAAGTACGAGAATTTTTACTAACCCTGTGTTACTCGGCTCGCGAAGAAGCAAAAGAAGAAATGCAAATTGTTAAACGTGTTAGTTAACGATTGTAAGGAGATAATCACTCTGGTGGCCTTAGGAATCAATTAATATCTAACGCCGGCCCCTCGGCACTTCCGGGCCCTCTTTAAAATACACCCCTTAGCTCGCCGAGAGAGAAGAAAAGGGTCGAAGAAAGAAGAAACGCGGACTTCTTTCGTTCGCCCTCGACCAACTTTCGCAAGGAGATGCATCTACCTCGATCTTCAGCTCGGTAGAAATTCGTGCAGGTCGCTGAAACGATGAGGAGAACGAACAAGAAAACGAGGGGGCGCGTGGCCGATACGAAACACACGGCGAATAAGGGAAATCTTATTCGGAAACGAAGAGAACGAAGATGGAACCGTATAAAAGACCGAGAATACGACGTAACCGGTGGTTCGAATACGACGCAAGAATTGAACGAATGAAGCGCCAACGAGATTTCTATCGAGATTTATCCGCGATACGTTATAGAGAAAACGAAGTTAAAGCGAAGAAAGAGATCCTCTTTGGCCCGAGGCACGCTCGATAACGAGAAGAACGAGCTTGCCTCGTTTGTGCCCGACGACGGTTCAATTTCTCTTGTACTTCATAGTCGCCTATTTTTATCTTTGTGCCGAACCACGCGCAGCATGTCGATGCAATCGACACGGCGACGGCTCGAAAAACGACATCCTTTATGACCCATCGACATTTCCCTCTCGTTCTCGTCTTCCGACCACCGATACCGACAAACGAACCGCCGACGCCAGCAATTTCCGAACGATCTTCCGTTTCCGTCATTCGAACGGTAGATCGGTCGCGATGTTCGCGACGAACCTACGGACACGCGTCCGCGGACAAACAACGGATACGAGACCCGAGAAGAACGCGTTCGGCAGCGAGAGAAGAATGCATCGCGTGCTGCGCGATCGTAACGAACAGCTACGTTACTCCGAATAGCAAAGGGATAAAAACACGATGGCTGTGTTACATTTTCCACGGAGTTTACTGTAAAAGGGCTCGGGAGAAGAGTAGCTTGAAACGCACGAGCAATGGGAAAGAAGAGGACAGAAGAGGAGGAGAAACGACCGATATATATGTATATGTATATACGTGTGTATGTCGGATCGCTATTTTTCATAGGTGTAGATACGACGAGCTCGCGTAGAGAGAGAGAGAGAGAGAGATACACGGTTTTTTTTTTCGTGGCGTGAAGTTTTTTCACGGGACCGCGCGTGTACACATATATTACGTAGTGGGTAAACAGAATACTTTGTAAATTAAGGGGAAGAAACAGAAGGGGCGGGGGGAGTAGAACGAGAACGGGTGGAGAAATCGTGTCGATGACGTGTTGTGTAGCTACCATGAAAATTTTTTTTTTCCGATGGGATTAGCAGGATGGTTGGGGGGATGGGGGTGAGGGAGAAACGAAATCGTTAGTAGGTTTTCGTATCGGAGAAACCGGAGGGAAACTCGAGACACACACGGACAGAAGCACACACCTACACACACCAGCTAAGAAACACTGCCAATACGATTGTAATTAAGAACTCTAGGCTAATTGATCGATTAATTATTCTTACTATTACTATTACGGTTAAAAAAAAAAAGTATGTATAACTCCCCGATTATAGATCTCTAGTTGCCGCCGCGAACGCGTACGTAGCGTATCTCGGTTGCTCGGGGTACGCGAATATCTTTTCTTCTTTTTTGTTTCGTTCTTTTTTTTTTGACGAAACCATCGACGATCGCTGTAGTTTCCTAGACACGAGCGTGTAAATAGTTAGTTGAAATTCTCGATAGACACAGATAGCCCGTGGTGGTACGGGGGCAGTTCTCCGTTTTGGGAGAGCAGCCTATCAGCTTTTGCGATTTCAGGCAAAAAGAAAGGAGATCCTTTTCTTATTTCCCGTCGAAAGGATGGCTCGTACGGACACGAAGGAAGAACGAGTCGCGCGACGATAAACGAAGAAACGCGTCACTGCCAAAAATCGAGCACTGCCAGCCGCCGAATAATCGCGGCCTACGTACATCGTGTTAGAAAGCCTTACTTCGTTCGCGAAACGTAATCGTGATCTCGACGAAACACTAACGAACGCGGAATCGTTCTTCCTCGAGCGTGTCCACCGTCCCTCGATGCGTTTCGCCTTCGATCACGCTTCTTTTCCGATTCGATGACCGCGAGCGTGAATCGGAAACGCGCCTACTGCCAGTCCATTACGTCGACGGACGCGAACCAAGGCACTGCCATGCGACAAACATAACGACGAGAAACGTGTGTACGTATATGTATACCTTTATGTACGTGTACAGAGTGTTATGTTTCGATTCGTACACGCGAATGCGTCTTCGAGGGAGGGGCAATTAATTTTCTACTATCGGGGGAATTAATGGTAGTATCGATTCGCTAGATAGGGTTTTGGTAATTTTCGGTAAAGAAGGTAAATGGTCGATGCAACTCGCATAGTTTTTGGAATTGAACGTGTCACTATGTATTGCCAAAAAGTTGTTGCTTTCTGTGATAATTGTGTGTATCTTTTATTCGAGACGCGATCGCGTGCATTCGTCCGAACGCTACACCTTGTACGCGTACGCGTATATGTAAAGTTAATATCTACGTATGTATAGAAACGTCATCTCTCGAGCCCGTTGCACGACAGGAACACGTAGACGATCGATTTTTATTTCAGTTGGATCGATTTCATTTTTGTTCTCCTCTTTCGCTGCTCACCGGTACGGTTCGTTTTCCTCGTCACCGAAACTCGCACCCGATCGATTTTGGCATCCTCTCTGCTCAGTGCCATTACACGGGTTCTGTGTGTCGCTCGCGTTTCTTGTGATTTTTCTCGTGTGTTCGTCACGCGTTCGTCTTCCGTATTCGTTGAGTTACTTGGTGGCGCGATTCGATCGTTCTCTCCTCTCGATTCCACTCTCGTTCGTTCGATGCTCGAACGCTCGTACGATAGAACGAACGAGGTATTATATCACGGGTGGGACCAATATCTCGCGCGAAAAATATCATCCATCTTCTCGAATTATTTTTTTTACGTTCGATTCAGGAATCGCCGGGAAGGATCGACCAAGCTCCGTTCGAGCTGCTTACGGAATTTTGCCTTTAGAAGCGTTCATTTAGATAGGTTTTTTTTTAGCTTTTTACGTCGTACGATTAGAAATAATTGGCCTTTCGCGTCAACGAGAGTGGAACATTCCGGGGGAAAGGTTCGTCCATTCGAATCACGCTTGATCTCGTGTTATCGAACCGTGGCATACGAAATTTAGGCTAGAACGATAGATTTCGAGTCGTTGGCAATTCCGTTCGAATTACGAACCATTGAAATTTTTTCTTTCGTTGCTCGTCCGATCGAGCTTCGTTTAGATTTCGAAAGCATCCACGTCGCCGTTTGCTTCGCTCAAGACTGTCTATATTTAGCGTTTAGCGTTCTATTATTATCTAATTCTATTAAAAAATGGGTAAAGCGAAAGATGGATATTCGTAAGCGTAATCGACGAATAGTTCATTCTTTCGACAGCATTTTTCGTTCCGGTCGAAACGATTTTGTCGATCGTCGTCTCGTCGCGTTAGTTCGATTTATAAAGTTCATTCGAATCGAATAATTTACCTTAGGAAATTTCTGTTTCGGAAATCATCGAGGCGAAGAGGGGAAAAGACAGAACTCGGTCAGTGTATCGGCACTCTTTATTACGTTTATCGTTCGATTTAACACGTTAACTGGGAAAGACGAATTAACTCGTTCGAGCGATCGACGATACTCGGAACGTTAATTTATTAAACGATTATCGGAGTACCTGCGTCTTACTAATCGGAAGCTCGTTAATCGACTCGTCGACATCCTATCGATCGTAGACCGACATCTAACATTTAGAAAAGTTAGTTCACGTTTCATCTTATCATACTCGTCAATCTAACAAATAATAATTAAGTACCGGCAGATGCCGGATAGAATTTTTTATCGGAACGTTACCCAGTTAACAGGTTAAAGACAACCATCGTACGCTTGCATTTTTCTTCTCTTTTTCCTAACTCGAGAAACACTTTACGTTCGCGATCCTCGTTTCCTTTATTCTCTTCCAAATTCCTAATTTCTAATTCTTTACTTTCTTTCTTTTACATCGATCGTTTAGGTTTCTTAGTTTCTACCCGACCGACTACTATGCATTTAACGCGTTGATCGCTACAGAGTCACATACAGGCGCTACGAATTTATCGAAAATTATGATAGAACAGATCGAAAGTTCCACGATCCATCTTATATCGCATACCGTACTGGTTTCTACCGATCAGCGCGTTAAACGATCCATGTATATTTTAGCGAGGCGTTGTAAAGTTTTGTGTAAGCCGATTAGATGCGTTATATATAAATATATATATAAAATTCGTTAGCGACAGAAGCGATAGAGGGTCGACTCGAACAGTCACGCGAAGAGAAGAGAGTCGCGAATTTTTGTTCGTTCCAATGGGGAATTTCACGAGAAGATTCGACGTAGCTCGTGGCTGTTCTCGTCGTTCCTTTCCGTCGTACGTGTGTAAAACGCGCGCGAAACAGACAAAGAGAGAATGAGATAGGAAAATACCGTATGAGAGAAAAAGAGAACCTATAAATGTAGAATAAATTTGAGCATCCTGTAAATAAGAGATACACGATCGATAACGAATGTGAATCGCGAATTTCGAAGCAGAAAAGGGACAACAGAACAAAGAAACGATGGGCGAGAAAGGGTGAGAGAAAGAGAAAAAGAAAATTAAAAGAGAGAAAGAGAAGGGAGAAAGAAGAATGCTGGTAGAAATCGTATTTTTGCATGACGAATTCAAAGAAAACGAGAAACGTTAGAGAAATTTTGGGAAAGGGTACGATTGGACGGAACCGAACAGTCAATTGATCCTCTGCAGGGATCAATCGCGCGTTGTCTTAGTGTTTGCTCGAAAGTTTGAAAGAGAAAAGAAAAGGTAGCAGCCCTTCTCTTTCGAAGGAGACTCGCGTTTTCCATCTTTCTTCGGTGTACTTTTTGGAAACACGATAAGTTGATCGATTCTCGACGCAGAAACGACGACCCAGCGTTTTTCTGTCATTTTTCTTTTCTTCTTTTTCTTTTTTTTTTTGTATTCAGTTTTCACGTTCGTTAAATCGAAAACATGTTCACGGATTGCTCGGAAACAAAACGTATGTGTTCGTCAAACGTTATTATCGCTTGTTCTTTCCCCATCGATTCGGCTGTCGAACTCGCGTACACTTAACGCATTAAAAATCGTAGTGGATAAGTTTTGTAAAGAAAAAAGTAAAAAAAGAAGAAAATATAGCAAGTAAAAGTCGAGAAGAAACCTTCATCCCGATCGGTTTGTCGCTTGATCCTTGACTACGTTCGCGGTCTTTCAGTTTTCTCAACAGGGGCGAACAATTTTTCTCGAAGATTTTCGCTGGTAGAAGAACCGTCGGTAAATCCACGCTCTTTACGTTATATATATCGCTTATCGTGTTCTACGAATGGAACGTACTCAAGGGTTAAATCGAGCAAAAGAGAAAAAAGAAGAAACGCTTCGAACGCTCGACAGAGTCGTGTCGATAGAATCGAAACGACTTGATTTATCGATGTTACGTTGCAAATTAAGTTTCGCGAATAGAATTTAGATATTAAATTAGATAATTTAGTGTACGATACGGATCGTTTACCGGCAAAGACGGCCGTAGCCAAGGGGTTAACGCGTTCACCGCCGCGGTGAAAGTGCTAACACGCTATACGTAATTGCAATTATTCGAGCTACGATCGTTTTACTTTAAATTTAATCTCTTTTCTTGCGTGCATATTATTCAAAGTTTCTTCGATTACTATTGACCGCCATGGCAATCACCGTGTACGATTTAATCGCTTGTTCATTTTCGTCTCTTAAGTTTAGCCTTTCGTCGAGAAAATTTTCTTTCGCGTCGCAGGCTTTTTTTTTTTATCGAGAGCTCGCTATCGGTAGCGTAGATCTTTTCGGGATTTGTCGGTACCCCGCGATCCCATAAAACCTCCATATTTTCCTGCGTTAGAGATTTCAGGAACGGAGCAGGAAATTACGAAGAGTCAACGCCGTGTTCGTTTTCCTCCTCCGTGCACTCGCGAGAGAAGGTTACAAGTCCTTTGAGAATTTGTCTAGCAGGAATATATCGAGGTATACCCATCGAAACTCCTCCTCCATTCGTTCTAATCTTTTCTTCCCCGCGTACGATGAAAAGGCTCGAGATTGGCTCCGGCTTTAATCGGTAAACTCCTATCAGCCGAGCATCCTGCTTGTCCGAACCGTACGCTATTCGTATAAACGAGGTTTTATTGTATACGTATGTGTCTCCTGCACGCGATTTTCATCGTCGGATAAGAGTATCTGGTTAATAAGGTTAATTGCGTACGCTAGGGGCGAAAAACAACTGCTTCGCACTGCCAAACGGAGAAGAAGAAGAGGAACGGGAATTAAACGTGTCGTGTTCGTTACGGTGGATCGATCTTGTCGAGCGATCGTCGAAAGCACCACGGTGTTCATTAAAAAATCCACATAGTGGTATCTCAAATAAGGAGGCAAACGAAAAACAAGATAATACCTATTTTTTTCTTTTTTCGATACTTTGATGTACAAACACTGACGACGGTTTATAGCTCAAGAAAAAACATTAAAGAGACAGATATTGTAAGAGAGTAATAATAATTTAACGGTTTACGATGCCGTACACGTTCGTTTTCATTGCTTCGTACCCGACCTTTTTCAGATCGACGTTTCTTTCGTTGCATTCGCTATTCCGACGATAATTATCATCGACTCGTAGTCGTTCGTAGACGGCAATTAAAAATACTTGACCAAGGATTTTTCTATATCCGTTAACCGCTCGGAAACACGTCATAAAAATTCACTTTCCGTATTCGCAAAGTGCCTTTTCCGTATGGCAATTACGTTTTCCGAGCGTGGAACATTTGATCGGAATATTAGCGTACGAAAGCGTGGCTCGCTTCCGTTTCCGGCCTGCTGGCGGGGAAACACGATATTCTCACAGGCGGTAAAGCTACAGGAAACCCGATCCTTGTTTCAGAAGTCTCGTTTGGGCAACCTGTTGACCACGTCGATGAAACTTGGCGCTTGCACTCGCGTGCAAGAGGACGCGTAACAGCGAGGGTTGTACGGGCCTACGATACACGCGATCATTTCGGACTTTGGAAACAAACTTTCATATATTCGAGTTCGAACGTCTCGGGATATCGTAAAAAAAAATGTCGAACAATCTCGTTTGCAACTTTCTCAGATTCGCGGAAACGCGTGACGTTCCATTAACTTCGCAACGTGGACATTAATTAGAAACTCGCGGTTCCGTTTAATTTCGTGTTTTGTTTGTACGAGCTCTGTTCACCGTTTCTGCACAGTTAGTCCCATTATTCCGTAGCGAATTCCCGTAAGGAGAAAGCACGTTACAAAGAAGCTGTTGTCAGGAGAGAAAGAGAGCTGCTCGGATATACCGTATGCATCGAGGGAACGAAAGCAAACAGAGCGCGGGTTGGCTCGACGCGAAGGTGGCGAAAAAAGTAAGTAAGCCAAGGAAGGGGAGAAAAAGTGTTAGCGGTAATCGGAAGAGACGAACGATTGTTGATTTACTCGGTCGACTTGGAAATACTGTTTACCGGCTGGTCGGTGAAAGAACGGGAAGAAGACCTGGAATGGTAATGGTAATGGCAATGGTAATGGTAATGGTACCGGTGCAGAACGTCGAGAACGCGGATTATACGAGCGTTCTTGTTCGTTTCTTGTTCACCTACGTATCTTTGTCGTCGCGCTCGTCGTCTTTCGCGCACGCTGCACTGTACAGTTAAGTCGACGTCTCGTACCGCTCCGGGATGAAATTGAAGCGATCCGTCGCGTCGCGTCCCGTCGGGTCGTTGACATTTCGTCGTTCGAACGATCGACTCCGTCGCGATTATCGAGAGCTAATTTTATCGGTAACTTATCGAGCCGCGATTTACGATGGAGCGGTCATTTTCGAACTCGTCTGTCGTGACGATCGCGTCGCGCTCTTGCTCCGATTTCACCCTCCGACTGGATCCGATGCTCGCGATAAGATATTCGGTGGTTCTTCGTCGAGCATCGACGCGCTGCTCACGAGCGAATCGAAACCGGTCGAAATCGATCGCGAACCAATTAATATAAATTGGTGTCGAAGAGCCAAAGGGGTAGGTAGACGAAACACCGAGGGTGCCACGAGCGAAGGAAAATTTGATCCGTCGAAGCGTTTCGTTCGGGTACCGTTCGGGTACCGTTCGGGGCGCTTCGGTCGTCCGCTCGGAGACTCGGAGCAGTCGCGAACGCGAGTTCAGACCGGTCGGACGCGTTCGCTGTCGTCGTCGTTGTCGTCGTCGTCTCGTGTTCGTCGCGGTTCCGTTTAATTTCGTGTTTTGTTTGTACGAGCTCTGTTCACCGTTTCTGCACAGTTAGTCCCATTATTCCGTAGCGAATTCCCGTAAGGAGAAAGCACGTTACAAAGAAGCTGTTGTCAGGAGAGAAAGAGAGCTGCTCGGATATACCGTATGCATCGAGGGAACGAAAGCAAACAGAGCGCGGGTTGGCTCGACGCGAAGGTGGCGAAAAAAGTAAGTAAGCCAAGGAAGGGGAGAAAAAGTGTTAGCGGTAATCGGAAGAGACGAACGATTGTTGATTTACTCGGTCGACTTGGAAATACTGTTTACCGGCTGGTCGGTGAAAGAACGGGAAGAAGACCTGGAATGGTAATGGTAATGGCAATGGTAATGGTAATGGTACCGGTGCAGAACGTCGAGAACGCGGATTATACGAGCGTTCTTGTTCGTTTCTTGTTCACCTACGTATCTTTGTCGTCGCGCTCGTCGTCTTTCGCGCACGCTGCACTGTACAGTTAAGTCGACGTCTCGTACCGCTCCGGGATGAAATTGAAGCGATCCGTCGCGTCGCGTCCCGTCGGGTCGTTGACATTTCGTCGTTCGAACGATCGACTCCGTCGCGATTATCGAGAGCTAATTTTATCGGTAACTTATCGAGCCGCGATTTACGATGGAGCGGTCATTTTCGAACTCGTCTGTCGTGACGATCGCGTCGCGCTCTTGCTCCGATTTCACCCTCCGACTGGATCCGATGCTCGCGATAAGATATTCGGTGGTTCTTCGTCGAGCATCGACGCGCTGCTCACGAGCGAATCGAAACCGGTCGAAATCGATCGCGAACCAATTAATATAAATTGGTGTCGAAGAGCCAAAGGGGTAGGTAGACGAAACACCGAGGGTGCCACGAGCGAAGGAAAATTTGATCCGTCGAAGCGTTTCGTTCGGGTACCGTTCGGGTACCGTTCGGGGCGCTTCGGTCGTCCGCTCGGAGACTCGGAGCAGTCGCGAACGCGAGTTCAGACCGGTCGGACGCGTTCGCTGTCGTCGTCGTTGTCGTCGTCGTCTCGTGTTCGTGGATACGCGTGAAACGCGCGGCGAGGCGCGAAAAACGAGGGTGTTCGTCGTCGTGCTAAAAAAGTGTTTGTACGGAAGTGTAAGTGTGACCGTGTTCATTGGACGAGTACAGTGCTATCGGAACTCGTCTCGATCGCGAGGAGAACTGGAAACGACAGGGAAGCTGTGCAGAGTGCTCTCGTGTCTCGGCCCCTAGGACGAATTTTACTGCGAACGTCACCTTCCTCGCCGGTGGTGAGTACATTTTCGATATTTTCTCCCTCGGATAACTTGGTATCTTGACACGCGCGAGGCAAGAAACGCGTTAGACAACGTTCAACTCCATCGGTTCGTCGTTTCGCTGTTTTCTTTTTTTTAATTTAACGCCGTCGCGGGTCGATAACGTAGAATTTTGTGCGTTCTGAAATCTATTTTACGGCTAGCGACATTCTCTTTACGACGCGAGCACAGTCGGATTTTTAATCGAGAAAGTATTCCTCGCACGTATTCGAGTTTTTTTGACGTTTGACCGTCGATCGATTCTAAGTGCTCCGAATGCCGTAGCGCGTATCCGGTCTTCGTCCTGCGTATAATCGTCCTAGCGAAAGTCGGATCTATTTTATTCGCATCGCGGAAAAGTGTTTCGATCAATAACGCGTTAACAAATTTTCGGAATTCGGCGTCGTAATCGGCGCTCGACGAGTTCGATATCGCGTTCGATTATCGGGCGTACACGATCGAGTTGACCGTCGATCCGACTTATCGATCGTTCGCGATAATTTACGATCGACGAAGCGCAATCTTTTTCGATTCGACAGAAAACGATACAATATTTCGATTCGATGCGAACTCGCGAGGTTCGTTTCGCGAGCGTTCGCGACAATTACGTTTCTAATAATACTCCTTTTCGGCCAAGGGTATGTCGTTGGTAAACAAATGGTTTTTGCTTTGCCCTGACAAACATGCGCAAGTGTGTAAGATCGAGGCACGCTTTTCTTAAAGCGAGTTGGCACGTGTAACGTTTTCCCTGGACGCGTTCGACAACAGGTTTTCGCACACGTAAGTGTTTACCTTGCTTACGTAACGCGAGTCGAAGACTGATCGAGGCGCGTACCAAATAGGGGGTGGGGGCAGTGCACGTCGCTTTTCCACGTCCTCGGATCGCTTTTCGAGAAGTTCTGGCGTGTGCGCAACGTTTTCGAAAAGGGCGTCGACCGTAGCGTTATCGTCGAAAATTTCCGAATCGTTGACTCCGTTTCGCGTTACGCGAACGTTACTTAGCAGTTTTATAAAATGGTACTAGAACGAAACAATGGCTCCGGGAAATAGCGTATTCGAGTAAGAGTTAAATATCCCCCCGGGCGATCGGTGGTCGAGCGACAAGTTTTGGTCGGTTCGCTAGGTAATTACGCAAGTGTCGTATGGAAAAAGGGAATCTCGAGGAGAGCGACTCGAACTCTCGGCGGTATTCGTCGTGGTCAGAGATAACACACGAGCGGTAGTAGATTCACGGTGAATTCGAGTCATGCACGGCGTCGTGTCGTGTCTATTTAGAATTTCAGCGAGATCCATGGTTGAATTCCGGCACGAGCTCGCAATCGTATTTCACGGGGCTCTGCGAACACGGGAAAGGGAAAGGGGACGCGTACGCGGGCATCGAGAGGGTTTCCGTGGCGCGATCTCGTTAGTATCTCGGTGAAATATACAGGTGCAAAGCAATGGTACGCGTGTTTTTGCCCTCGCCAGCCAGATAAGAAAGGTCTCGCTGTTTATGTTTCCACGATGGAGGTCGCGCGCGTTCACCGAGCCGACGACGGCCGACTCGCTCGCCAGTCGAGAACCTGACAAAACAGTCGTCGCGCGTTGCTACTGCATCGCCGATTATTTCGCAACGTTATCGTTTAGAGAAGCTCTATATCGATGTATTCGCGATCGAGCTCGGACGATAAGCCTACTCGTCGGATCAAAGCTTTTCTTCTTTCGATTCCGCGATCGAGCGGCGCTCTGTCGCGACGCGAATCTTTCTATCGAACGCGATGACGCGACAAAAACGATATTCTCGCCGAGGCGGTCGGATATCTCGAGCGTTTATCGCTGCCAATAAACGACGATTCGAGCGAAAAGCGACGTAACCGATTCGATCCGCTTCCGTTGGCGTATCACGCGATTCGAGCGTAACGAGAAGCAGCCTTTCAGACGGTGTACGCATTCGCGGAGGCTCGCGTAACGCGCCAGGGTAATCCCTGATGCAATCCGCCACTCTCTTCTCGTCGAGCACGACGAACAGCTGACAGCATCGAAGGAAATTGGCCAGGATGACTCGCGCCTCTTGTTTCGCTCGCGCGATTCCCTCTCATTTAGCCCGATGGCTAATTACCGTTGTTCGAGAACCGCGATCGATCGTCCTTCCTCGTGCCACCGCTATTCACGACAATTACTCTTCTTTTTCTTTTTCCTTTGTCGCGGTCGCGGATCCACGGTTATTAGGTGATTCGTGAAAATGGAACAATGGCTTCGGAAAAACGCGCAACGTCCTTGTCGTTTTCGCCTCGCGAAACTGTTTCGTTCGAAGCATAATATCTAGCTGGGTAATTCGTCGACGTTCGCATCGCAGCCTAACTGAAATTTACGAGGCAGAACTATAGGAAAAAGAAAAGCGCGCGAAGGAAGGATTACGTATCGCTTATCGTAATCGTCGAACGCTTCCTATGGCATAACCGAGATGTAGGTCGAGATAAAAAGCGAAGACGCGATGCCGCTATTTGCACGAACGATAGTCGGACACGCGTACTCTAGCATGATTAATTGCGCGACAGGCTGAAGGATGCTCCGGACGAGTCACCTTATCTCCGACAATTATATCCACCGATAGTACGGAAGTTTGCGCGACATTCGCTCGCTTCGTCGCGACCAGTCGTTTCACCGAGTCGGTCGTATCGCACAGGAAAATATACGCGACACGTATTTTTCTTCGAAGCGAACAGGGAAACGAGTAAAAGAGGCCCGGCATTGCGTAGCGATGTCGTGGTTCCAGAGCGTGCTTTAGCTACGCAAAAACGAGTCGTCCCTTATGCGTTTTCGTACCCTCGTGGATCCCTCGAAAAGAGTTTGCACACATCTTTCGTTCGTTGTCCTGCGAAATTGCTCGTAAACAATAACGCGACACGCGACAAAGGACCGTCGTGAATGGGCACCGTGGCTCGCTCGACGAACCCCCGTCGCCTTTAAAATTAATCGTCCACGTTCTCGCGATACGCCGAGCTTTCTCTCTCGTTAAAAGGGGCGACGCGAAACAGGCTCGTTCGATTGATCGTAAACGCAATGGAATAATAAACGTTTTAAACTCGGAGCGCGTTTAACGATTTACCGAGTTACAAGGAGGAAAAAATTCATTTACTCGGAGCGAAAATTTCGATCGCTTGATATTTGTCGCTACGACTATGTAACGACGCTTTGCGACGCTTTACGAGACATCGTCGCGTAACGATATTTCTCGGTTTGCCGATCGGGATATAAAAGCTAACGAGCGATGATCGTTGGTCGACGGTAGGCTCGAAATCGACGTATCGGTCGCGTAATTCAGGTGTCGCGTTACCCGCTCGTCTCGGCTCGGTCGAGCTCGCGTCGCGTCGCAACGTCGTAGCCAGCATCGACGTAGCCCTTCCCCTCGGACTAACCGCCCCTTCCTCGCTCCAAAATCAATATAGGCGCCGCCAGTGCCGGCTACGCCAACGACGTTGTTCCACCCAGGATTCTCCACCCTTCCCGTACCGACCATCTTTCGCCGTCGTTCGCCGCTCTTCCGCGAGCACCACCTGCTCCTTTGTGTTTACACTTTCTCGGCAGTTCATTCGGAAAGATGCACCCGACTCCGCGATCCTTAACCTCGCGACCAAATAAGGCCGAGGAATCCTTTCAAGTCCGTTTCTCTTCGAATAGACAGATTTCCGAACGAAATCGCGACCGGGACAACGATCACTCGCCGTTCGAGAAATGCCACCTTCTCCCGCGAATAGCGTCGCTATTCGAGAAGCGTTACATTTATAATGGTTGCGCTATCGCGACGATAACCTTCGGAGCAGACGCTAGTCGCGAGTGGAGAGGAGTCGTTCTCGGAAAACGAGAATCAACCCTCTCGAGAAAACTACGAGTCGTTGAACGAGCCATAGGCGAGAAGTCAGTCCGGTGTAAAAGATATCCTTGAAATAAAAGTGATCGTTAAGATAGTAACCTTGACTCTCGATATGAAATCGAGATCGGTACGCGTGTTCGAGGACCAAAAGGAAAGTTTCTCGAAGAGGATGAAGGCGCGACAGAGGCAATAAAGTTTACGAGTCGGAATATTATAGGACGAAGAGAAGCAGGCGAAAGAAGAAGAAACTAGGAGAAGGCATGGCGACGCGACGCGGCGGCGAGTAACAATGGCAATCGCGCGACGAGATGCTCTCGCTCGAACAACCGGACGATAGATAACGTTCGCGGATCGGATCATCTTCTGTCGAATACGATAGGCTTCCACGCGCTAGGTTCGCCACACTCGAGTTATCGACTTGGTACGAGCGGGGCTTCGAGATCGATTTAAGCCGCTCGCGTTTGTCCGAGTGATACCGAAAGCCGAAAGCCAATTGATCGGGCCGTGGGTATCGTGGCTTTATTCGACCGCCCCCTCTCGACTTTAACCATCTTTCGTCCGACGAAAGTTCGTTAACTTCTCCGGACCAGTATCGGTTACGCGGCGAACCGATCCGACGACGAGTCACGCGAACGTTTCTCGCTCGTTCTCTCGGACGAAACAGAAACGGAGCGTCTACGAAAGCTATGTTTCGAGTGGACCGTGGCGATCTACGAACCTTATTAGGGTATTATTAGGGTAATTGAACGGCTGGCTCGCACAGATGGAAGTAAATTGGAAAATTTCCCAGGGGAAATTGCAGCCACGCTCGTTGCGACGCCTTTTTATTCGCGAAGATTAAAAATCGTTCGGAAGCTCGTCGTTTGCGCGCGATTAAAATCATCGCGATAACGATGTTTTCGACTTCCCAAAAAGCTCGGGGAATCCGATCGATCGTCGAGGACATATTTTGTCCGTAAGTTCGGAAAAGCCGATCGACGCAGTTGGCCAAATCGCAGTTTCCTCTCTCGTTCTCTTTCCGTCACGGGACGAACGGCGTCTCCGTGGGGTCGTTGGACGATTTTCGAGGATAATTTATGACGCCCCGACGTTTCGGTCGCGACGAAAACCACCGTAAACAACC